CTGTTCAACTTTTGACTATCTCACTGTCTTGTAATTTAAGAAATAGGTACATGGTTTCAATGAAATTAAGTCCTAGAATGATAAAAGAAAAAAAGGGCATAAAGTTGTTACAACCAAAGTTTTTTCATAGGCTTGAAAGATAATTGTCACCTTTTTCAAAAAGGGAAGAACAGAAATCTTGACCATTAATAATTTGAACATATGGGAGTGATTCATAACTAATACTGGTTTATTTGCTGTTCATACACATTAAAAAAATTTGAAAATCATAAATAAAGCTTTTAATAATTTTGTGGAAAAAAAAAAAAAGAATGACTTCTCAACTGGGAACTGGTATATACAATGGGCATCACAGCAAGGAGCCATTTCTATGAGACAGAAGCAGCTGGAACTGGAATAGCAACTAATACCTGGGCAACTAACAAACTGAAGAATACTGGCTTGGTTAGCAGGGGGCAGGGGGACTTTTCTGTTAAAACAAGAAAGAAGAAACATGACTGTAAGAATGTGGAAAAAAAAAAAAAAAAGAATGTGGTATGGGCCCAAGAGAAAGAGGAGGTGGCTTAACTACAGAGATCAGTGTCTGGAGCAGATAACATAGTCTCCTTATTATAGACAGCTAAGTCCAGTAGAAATATGATAGGCAGACAAGGGAAGACTCTCAAAGTGTCAATACAAAAGATGAAAACACATTACAACTGCTGCCAGAGTGCCATCTGTTAGAAGCCAGGCCTCAAGATAAAGACAGAATGCCCAGTCCTACACGCTTTCCCAAAGGACAAGACTGAGTGCTAACACCTGGCCCAATAAAATCTAGAAGACTCAGTCACCTTGGTGTACCCTTGCTACATGACTTGCTTCCCCAATGGATCAATAATCTCACTGGTTGATCACACCTTTAACGCACATTGTACAACCACATGATTTTACTCTATAAAATGATCTTTGAGAGGTGGGCTCCTTGGCAACCCACCTGGGCCCCCTCCAGGCTCGCAGCAGCTGTACCTCCCTCAATATAATTTCCTACTCATAACCTCTGTTGTTGTTCCTTAGAATTCATTCTTCAATTTTGAGGAACACAAACTTGGTGTACCTGACATGTAGCAGGTTAGGACTTACAATATTTCCCTTGCATCATTTGGAGGTTCTGTGTCACCCTAGCAAATGTATGAACAGGGTTTCAAGCAATTCTGAAGATTAAAATCATAGTTTCATGAAGTTCTATCAGATAAAATGTCTTTGATGACAAAATATACTATGTTTTCCTGAAACTCATTTAAACAGCAAATACATTTATTTTTCTCAGATAGCAGGAACAACAAGAATAGGATGGTTCATGAAGAACACTTTGAGCCAGTATGCTGGTACATGCTTATAATTCTAGCACTCAGGAGGCTGAGGCAGGAAGATTACCATGAGCTCAAGGCCAACTTGGGCTACATAGTGAGTCCAAGGCCAGCCTAAACTACACAGCAAAACTGTGTCTCAAAAAAAGAAAGGACCAGCCAAATAGCTCAGCCGATTAAAGTGCCTGCAAGCATGCGCAGGGGTTGGGGGTTCAATCCCCATGCCCACCCCGCCCCCGCCCCCACCCCCACCCCCACGGGCATGCTGAGCCAGGAACTGAGACTGAGCACGGTGGCACATACCTGTAATCCCAGCACTTGGGAGGCTGTAAACAGGAGAATCACTATGAGTCCGATCTAGTAGTGAGACCTTCAACACCCTGTAGACCCTTCCCTAAAAATACAGGAAGGAAGGAAGGAAAGATGGAAGGAGGGAGGGGAGGG